TAGTAATGGTTTTTTGGCCGAAAAAACCGGCTCATGTCGTTCACTTCAAAGAGTCGGCTCTAAGAGCCGGCTCGTTCGCGAACGACACATCACTATCAGTCAGGTTTTGGTACTCAGCGCATACACAAGACATTATAAGGCGTGCTGTCCACTTTGGAGAAAATTTTAGACTTTTAATGGCGCCTTATAGTTGTGAAAATACGGTAGATTAAAATGCTGATTGGTAAAAACTGGAAAAACATACCGTATTGGCCTGAATATAAGATGGTGATTTTTGCATTGAAATAAGACTGAAAAAGTGGGGGTGGTCTTATATTCGGGGTCTAAACATTATACCCATTCACGGCGCTAGATGGCGCCAGATACCATAAAAGCGAATGCTGAACTTGACTCCCCAGGCCAAAGCGAACCCCTGTCACGAAGAATAAAAATAAAAATAGCGGTAGCACGAAGAAGAAAAATAGAAAATAGCGGTAAGAAAGAAAAGAGAAGAAAATAATAGAAGAGATAACAGAAAAGGGAGAAACGTCGCGACAATCTGGAGAAAAGCGGGTCCAAGATCGGCCAGGTTAACCGCCAGCTGAGGAGAAGTTGTAATTTACATTTGAAAAACCAAAAGCCATTCAGTTACGAATGTAATTGCACTTTAGTTTACATATTTAAATCTTCAGATATTAAGATTTGAATGAGGCAAAATAACATGCTTTTTCTCTCAAATATATTGTTATAATCATTTGTTTCGGATGTACTGTAATTATTTTCTGTGTAAAAATCAATTTGTTGTTCAAAAAGTCTTTTTTCAAACGTTAGTCTTGAAAAAGAGGGAGTCGTCTTATAATCAGGGCCGTCTTATACCGTATTGGCCCGAATATTATCCATCCATCCATTTTCCGAACCGCTTAATCCTCACTAGGGTCGCGGGGGGAGCTGGAGCCTATCCCAGCCGTCATCGGGCAGTAGGCGGGGACACCCTGAACCGGTTGCCAGGCAATCGCAGGGCACACAGAGACGAACAACCATGCGCGCCCACACACACACACACACACACACACACACACACACACACACACAGGGACAATTTAGTGTGTTCAACCAGCCTGCCATGCATGTGTTTTGGAACATGGGAGGAAACCAGAACACCCGGAGAAAACCCACGCAGGCCCGGGGAGAACATGCAAACTCCACACAGGGAGGCCGGAGCTGGAATTGAACCCGGTACCTCCGCACTGTGAAGACGGCGAACTAACCACTGGACTACCGGGCCGCCCGGCCCGAATATTAGAAGGTGTTTTTTGCATTGAAATAAGACTGAAAAGGTGGGGGTCGTCTTATCTTCGACCCATTCACAACGCTAGATGGCGCCAGATATCAATGAAGCGAATGCTGAACTTGACTCCCCAAGCCAAAGTGAACCCCTGCCACGAAGAATAAAAATAGCGGTAGCACGAAGAAGAAAAATAAAAAAATAGCGGTAAGAAGGAAAAGAGACAAAAATAATAGAAGAGATAACAGAAAATGGAGAAACGTAGTGACAATCTGGAGAAAAGTGGGTCAAAGATTGGCCAGGTTTTATACTGCAGCTGAGGAGAAGTTATGATGTAATTTACATTTCAAAAACCATTTCAAATGAAGCCATTCATTTACGAATGTGATTGCATTTTAGATTTGAATGAGGCAAAATAACTTGCTTTTTCTCTCAAATATATTGTTATAATCATTTGTTTCAGATGTACTGTAATTATTTTCTGTAAAAAAATTAATTTGGTGTTCGAAAAGTCTTTTTTCAAACTTGAGTCTTGAAAAAGAGGAGGTCGTCTTATAAACAAGTCCGTTTTATATTCGGGCCACTATGGTATCTTTTTTCCTCTGATGAAAGAAGAGGCTCTAACATTCTTTTGGCAGGTTCCGTGTTCATGTAGCCACAGAGCACAATAATTTATGGGCCTTTCAAAATCAGACAAAATCCAGTAAAATATCTGAGATTGAAGGGATTGCTCCAGTGAGTTTTTGGAAAGTGGGGGGGAAACCGGAGTGCCCAGAGAAAACCGACACAGGCACAGGGAAAACATGCAAAGTCCCACACAGGAAGGTCGGGGCCGAAATCGAACCATTGACCTCTGTATTATGAGATGGACGTGCTAATCAGTCGACCACCTTGCTGCCCCGGAAAGACATCTGAATGACAACATTCTGTTAGACATATACCACCACCTGGTGACGACTATATATATATATATATATATTTTTACATTTAATGTATTGCACAGAATAACCCAGCCGCTGGGGGGCAGTGCCCTCCCCTGGGGGTGCACTGTTCCCCAGTGCCGGTCCCAAGCCCGGAGAAATGGGGAGGGTTGCGTCAGGAATGGCATCCGGCGTAAAACTTTTGCCAAGATGACCATGCGAGTTGGTAGGACGGTTTACAGGGGCGGATGGAAATTACTGACTCGCTGTGGCAACCCCTGAATAGGGACGTGCCGAAAGGAGAAGGAGAAGAATGTATTGCACAGAATACATTAGAAAAGCCTCAACACATTATCCATGCTCGATGCCGAATATTGTGACATTTGGGTGAAGGGCGTGGCCATTACGGTGCCGCAAAATCTGATGATTCACTGACAATAAAAGAGCCTCCAATTTGACTCAGATGATCCTATCTTCTAAAAGCTCTCGCATTTGCTGAAATTCCAGCCTGAGGACATGTACGAACTTATTTTTCATAATAGTGGTCACGCCACTTACTGGTTACAGGAAAAAACAATGTTTCATACATGGCAATGGCGAGTGATGAAAAAAGCGGAAAGGGCGTGGCCTGGCCAGGGGCGTGGCCTGGTCGGGGGCGTGGCCTGGACAGGGCGTGGTTACTTACAAAAGTGGCACTAAACATGCTGAAGATGAAGTGTATTCAATTTACACACTATTTGAAACTTTAACAGAAAAAAAAATCCCAAGATTGTTCACTATTCTTTCAAGTGAAAATTTGTGCAATTTTGCTTATGCATTCCTAGTGAGCACCAATATGTAACTCCAAATTTGCTGCTCAAAATCAAAACTAAAAAAGTAAACACATTCCCTGCCATATTTAAGATTTGTTCATGACTTGTATTCATAAAGTGTTGTGTAAATGTGATAAAAAGCTGTTAATTCTTACCTCATACAGTAACGTCTTTAGTTGTATCCGCTGACTAAGTTTGTTTGAAAAATGCCGATCCCAAAGAATAATTGCTCCGTCGAATGGCGATTTTGTCGGCATGTTTTTTCACTTTTGTTGCATGATCTGTCAGTGCCACGCATCCACGTTAATTAAGTCACTACAGTACACACAATAATCTTTGCCTGCTACGTCTGGTTTCTTCAAAAATTGTCCAAGAGCTTCTGTAACTTCGTCGAACTTGGAACCAATTTTAACCTTTACAGTGACTTTTCTGTCAAGCCAGTCCAATCGGAATTTATTCTTGACATTTGAGTCAATTTCTAGGATTTAAGACTCCTGATCTTTCGTCAAAAATTTCATAATTCCGCTCAAAACGATCCGAGAACAATGAATTTGCGAGACGAAGAGGCCGCCATGAATCAGGTAAAACAATATGTTACATGCAATTTGATTGGTCCAATCGCTTGTAGTTAACCAATTGATGGGCCGTATATAATCGAGCTAAGACTCCCGCAACAAATAATGCCTTCAATGATCTGATTAGTTGAAGCTTTCATACACGTCCAATCGCAGGGCTGTTTACAAACGGAAAACAGAGAGACTGTTCGGGAGAGCTCGTGAAAACTTGACGATAAGGTATCTGACCGCCCCTAAATTTTTCTCAACGGATTTAGACGATTCACAAAAATGATCAATTTAAGAAATAAAACGGCAGATTTCCGCGGATCCGCGGAAAATTGCCATGTATGATGTTTGAATATTTTGATTCTGTTTGGCTGTGGGCGAAGGTGGATGCTTTCTGCTCTGCTCCTGCCCATCTTGCTTATGTTCCTGCTTGCTGACTTTTCTATTGCTGCCCTCTGTCTCAACTTATTCCTAACCTACTGCTGGATTTTTCGTCTGAAAAACAAATCATGGTTTATGATGATTGACTGACTTTGGATGCAGATGACGGACTCGTCAATCAATTGCTTCGGCTTGGCTTTTCCTGGTGACCTAAAAGTGACATGCATTTGCATCTTAAAGTTGATATTGCAGCTACAGTGGGGCAAATAAGTATTTAGTCAACCACCAATTGTGCAAGTTCTCCTACTTGAAAAGATTAGAGAGGCCTGTAATTGTCAACATGGGTAAAGCTCAACCATGAGAGACAGAATGTGGGAAAAAAACTCAGAAAATTACATTGTTTGACTTTTAAAGAATTTATTAAAAATCATGGAGGAAAATAAGTATATGGTCAGCTACAAAGAAGCAAGATTTCTGGCTGCCAAAGAGGTCTAACTTCTTCAAATGAGGTCTAACGAGGCTCCACTCGATACCTGTATTAATGACGCCTGTTTTAACTCATTATTGGTATAAAAGACACCTGTCTACAACCTCAGTCAGTCACACTCCAAACTCCTCTATGGCCAAGACCAAAGAGCTGTCGAAGGACACCAGAGACAAAATTGTAGACCTGCACCAGGCTGGGAAGACTGAATCCGCAATAGGTAAAACACTTGGTGTAAATAAATCAACTGTGGGAGCAATTATTAGAGAATGGAAGACATACAAGACCACTGATAATCTCCCTCTATCTGGGACTCCATGCAAGATCTCACCCTGTGGTGTCAAAAGATAACAAGAACGGTGAGCAAAAATCCCAGAACCACACGGGGGAACCTAGGGAATGACCTACAGAGAGCTGGGACCACAGTAACAAAGGATACAATCAGGAACACAATGCGCCGCCAGGGACTCAAATCCTGCACTGCCAGACGTGTCCCCCTGCTGAAGCCAGTACATGTCCAGGCCCGTCTGCGGTTCACTAGAGAGCATTTGGATACTCCGGAAGAGGACTGGGAGAATGTGTTATGGTCAGATGAAACCACCATAGAACTTTTTGGTCGAAACACAGGTTCTCGTGTAGAATACTGAATTGCATCCGAAGAACACCATATCCACTGCGAAGCACGGGGGTGGAAACATCATGCTTTGGGGCTGTTTTTCTGCAAAGGGACCAGGACGACTGATCTGTGTAAAGGAAAGAATGAACGGGGTCATGTATGGAGAGATTTTGAGTGAAAATCTCCTTCCATCAGCAAGGGCATTGAAGATGAGACGTGGCTGGGTCTTTCAGCATGACAATGATCCCAAACACACAGCCAGGGCAACAAAGGAGTGGCTTTGTAAGAAGCATTTCAAGGTCCTGGAGTGGCTTAGCCAGCCTCCAGATCTCAACCCCATAGAAAATCTGAGGAGGAAGTTGAAAGTCCGTGTTGCCCAACGACAGCCCCAAAACATCACTGCTCTAGAGGAGATCTGCATCGAGGAATGGGCCAAAATACCAGCAACAGTGTGTGAAAAGCTTGTGAAGAGTTACAGAAAATGTTTGGCCTCCGTTATTGCCAACAAAGGGTACATAACAAAGTATTGAGATGAACTTTTGGTATTGACCAAATACTTATTTTCCACCATGATTTTTAATAAATTCTTTAAAAATCAAACAATGTAATTTTCTGAGTTTTTTTCCCACATTCTGTCTCTCATGGTTGAGCTTTACCCATGTTGACAATTACAGGCCTCTCTAATCTTTTCACGGAGGAGAACTTGTACAATCGGGGGTTGACTAAATACTTATTTGCCCCACTGTATATGTTGAATTCAATGTATAATTTACAGTAGCAAGTGGAATTAGCAGCTTGATGAACTGACTTTTTTTCATGAGTACACAATGAATATTTTTATGGTACTGGAATCAAATTTTGCATAAACAATTCTGACTTAAAATCCGATGGCAATTAATGGCTATTTCCATTGTGGTACGGCTTTCACGGAATACCAACAATGCCCCTACCTTCAATGGCTACAGAAAATAGATCGACGAATGAATTTGTTTTATTTTGAATCTTTTTGTCATACTTTTGTTTAAAGTATTACGACATACGGCAGTTCGGGCTAAGACAGTGTGTAAAGTACGTAGCTATTGTTGCTGTATTATTTTGAACAGCCCTAAATGCCATTCACAAAGCCACACAAGATCACAAAACTAATTATTTGAGAGGCTTTGATACCTGTTAACAGGATGTTTGGTTGTCTCATATTCATATCGAGCGAGCACCCAACACGTGCCATAACCTGAAAATAAATAAATAAAACAAATGCTTCCGTGTTTGAAATATTGTCTTAAATATTTGCGTTTAATATCCATCACACTGACCTGAAAAGATGACACCAGGGATTGCCTTGCGGTAATTTACTTTGTCAGAAGTCTCGGATGAATTTTCCTTTGGCATTTGCACCTAAAACATTGCCGTAAATTGAGATGTCACCTCAGTTTACGTCAGCCGTCGTGAAATTTACGGCATTCGCATCAGCAGAGTTTCAACAGACAGAACTACTCTGCTTCATTGCAATCGTTAGTTCTGTCCAAAATTACCTCTTTTCTTCATTGACGAATTGGATGACATGATTTTCCCGAAAACAGATGGGATTGACTCCAGCACACCCCGACCCTGATGCGTAGGTTTGGCTAAAGGTAGTTGAATTTGGTGAGTTTATTCTGAAATTATTTTAAATATGGTATACGGTTACTAGCTCATCGCGTGCCAAGTTACTCCACCGGTTGTCTTGTAAATGTAACCCTGTGGAAGACAAATGCTGAAAAATGTTTATGCTCAGTCGGCCGACTACTCGCTGTCATGCAGGACTTGGTTCAGAACAACAGTCAAGAATGGAAATCTGTCACTGAAACAGAAAGCTGGTTCAAGCAGAGTGAGTTTAAAAAGTCCTTTCCGGCAGTTTTTGTTGTCCAATTGAATACAATACGCTATTAATGGATATTATGCTAACATCTATTCCTAGATTGGGCAGGTGACTGGAAATCCTAATAACCTTTCTTGAAACCAAGCTCGACTCAGTTGAGTTATTGACCCCAGCTCGCTTGGTTTAGCCATTTATTACGGTACTTCTGTTTTACTTGGTGATATTGTTTAAAATAACAGGTAAAGATACAATGTGTGATAAATAAATACAAATGATGAGGGCTCATTATTATTAGCATTTGAAAGAAAAAACACAACTACTTGAAATACACAATACTGATAGATTTACACCTTTGTGTCTGTTTTATTGTTGTTTTATTGTTATTGTTTTTGTTGTGACTAATTGGAATATGTGTAAAACTTATAGAAATTCCCTGATGAATAGTTGATTTAAATGTTATCTTTCTTGACAAACTGTTCGGTGGATCAATCTTTCATTGATTTGACAGGACAGAATTTATTTGATTGTAGAGAGAAGAGGGGTCAGATTTTGGGCTCCCAAATTGAACCAATGAGGCCTCGCAAGAGGAAAGGAGAGATCTGCAGCTCAGACCTAGGCCACAGGAAACAGGATGAACCCTGGGTGGACAGATACACGCCATGCTCAAAGGTAAGTTTTCATCCATCCGTTCTCTATGCTACATATTTTCACTTTCAACATGAATACTCACTCATCCTGGTCTCTACGCTTCCACCCAAGCATTGTATTATGAATTGTATTATAAATTGTATTGTAAATTAAAAATATGAATGAAATACATTTGAATTTACTCTTTACTCAAAGGTCCCAAATTTCACTTAATTTTCATTTTACAGTAAAACTCCTCTACAACGAAATCATGTTTGCAGCAAGAAATTTTTCACAACAGGGGTTTTTTCACTGTAGCAAATTTGATTTCCTGGCCTTCCTGTGTGGAGTTTTCATGTTCTCCTTGTGCCTATGTGAGTTTTCTCTGGGTACTCCGGTTTCCTCCCACATTCCAAAAGCATGCATGTTAGGTTAATTCAGTGGTTCTCAGTTATTTTCTGTCATGCCCCACCAAGGAAGAGGAAAACCCCCCCCCCCCCCCCCGCACGACTATAAATAGTATCATTTGTCAATAAACTTGTTATAAGTACACCTTTGCACAACACTGTATCCTTATTAACGTACAAGAGAATAAAAAAGAAAGAAATATGGACCAACTTTATGGACCAACTTACAACAAAAAATAGCTTTAGTAACTGGAACAGAAAAGATTTAAAGCACTCTGAAATTCAAAAATAACATTAAATCCTTAATTTACCAATAAATATTTTTTGAGTGACCATGTCAAACCATACGGTACTGAAAAATAAAATTACATAAAATCAATAACTAATAATGCATTCAAACTAATCACCAACATTATTTCAGGAGCACAATATTAAAACGAACTTTAACCAGCAAAACAAAAATATATAAAATAATTTGTGCCTTTTTTTTTTTTTTTTTTATCAAAGGGGGTTCTCGG